AAAAAACTAGCCGGGCATGGTGGCGAGCGCCTGTAGTTCCGGCTCCTTGGAAGGCTGAGGTGGAAGGCTCGCCGGAGCCCAGCGGGTCGGGTCGTGAACGTGCCACTGCCCTCCAGCCTGGGCGACAGAGTGAGACTCCAACTCGAAAAAAAAAAGCAAGGAAAAAAAAAGCAACAGGGTTCAGCCACAGCCTGCCCCGGGCCACGAAGGTCCCACAAGGCCAGAAAGGCTCCCGGGGATTGCTGGGCCGCCCACATCTGAGAGCTCTGTGCCTTGTGTGGCCTGTCTGCCTCCTCCTCCTCGATAAACCCCCGTGGCAAATGCAGGCCGTGGGGCTGGTGCCCGCAGTCCCACGGTACAGATGGGGAAACTGAGCCCAGGAGGCCCCAGACTCCCCTGGGCACTCCCCCCAACACCAGCCACCCTCGCATCCAACCTGAGAGCCCAACAGCCCCGCCCAGGTTCTCAGGAACGGAGGGTGACTTCCCCTCGCACCTCAGGGGGCTGCGGGGGATCGAGGGGTGCAGGAGTTGGGTGGCCCCGTTCCCCAGTCTCCCGGTTCCTGCTCCCGGCAGCCCTACACCAACCGGCGGCCTTGACCCATGAGCCCTTCGAGTCCCAGAGCTGGACCCGGGCTTCCGAGCCCTTCCCGCCGGCCCCTCTGGCCCCGTGGCTGCCTGTGGACAGGCCTGTTCCTCCAGGCCCAGAAGCCACAAGAGAAAACGAAAGCACGGGGGCCCCTGCCAGGGAGGGTCTCGATGACCTTTGTCAACAGACAGCGTAAAAACCAGCCTCAGTGGCCGTCTCCGTGTGCCAATGTGAGGTGTCTGACTCACACGGACCGTCTCCATCCGACTACGGATCACAGTGACTCCTCACCCCGGCCTGGGGACGGCGTTTTGTCTGGCCACAAGATCAAGGTAACAATGTCCCGTATGCCTGGGGAAATCAGTTTTCACCCAGGCGTGGAGCTGGAAATTAAAAGCCCCGACGTAGTGTCTCGTGGTGGTGGAAGGGGTGACGCCACCCGGCCCCCAGCAGCCAGGTCGGGGCATCCTCCCCGCCCCCACCCCGGTTAAAACCAGGAAGGTGGGAGGGAGGTCACAGCACAGAGGGGAGGGGAGGGTGTCCCCACCCGCCGCCCGCCATGCCAGGGACGCTTCTTTCTTTTCTGCTGGGATACACACAGGCTGGGCAGATGGCTGGGTCCAGGGTCCCCGGGACAGAAATGCCACTGGGCAGGGGACAGGCAGGTGTGTCCTCGGATGGCCTCCGGCTGGGGTCTTTGGGGCAGAACACCAAGGGGCGGCCAGGCCAGAGCAGACACGGCCCCCGACGCCCACCCAGACCCAAGCTGGGTCAGGCCGGTCACTCCCGCACGCCCAGCGGGGCCGGCGGCTGACCCGGCAACCCCTCCGGTCTGATGTGGTAAACGCCACAGACCCTTGTAATTGTTATTTTAATTCTTTAAGAAAAGGACTAGAAGTAAAACAATGGCGTTTGTAAGAAAGAGGCAGTCCACTCCTCACAGTCGCAGCAGCCTCTCAAAGAGACCGTAAAAAACACGGTTGTCTCTATGGGGCCGCCGTCCGGTGTCTGGGGACCTCACAGGGTCCCTTTTCAAGCATCTATTTATGGGCTGCGCACATCGGGGCCCAAACAAAACGCGCCTGGACCCTACGCCACGCACCATTCCACATGGCTCGCGGGCCGGGCCTGCCTGGGCTGGTGGCTCTGGCCACTCACGAGGGCCCAGGGGGACGGGAGAGGCCTGCGGGGACCCTCCCGGCTGGCCGGCGAGTTTGGGGAACCCCCGGGAGAGGTGAGGCCGGGCCCCGGCTCGGGGTCCCACTCAGCCGCCTTCTGGTCTCAGATGCCCGTGAGGCCCCGAGAGCCGGTGTGGGAGGCCGGTCCCGCCACTTACCGGGTCACACTTGATCACCCTGGAGAGGAAGCGTGTGAGGCGGTGGTGAGACAAGAAGGTATTGGGGCTGCCCAAGTTCAGGCCCTGCATCGCGGCCACCACACTCCCAGCCGCCACCATGGAGGGCGGGTTGGAGATGAACTTCACATCTGCGGCAGAGGGAGACAGGCGAGGGGCCATGAGCGCCAGGCGCGTGGCCGGGTCCCCAACCGCCCCCGGATGCTGGGTGAGCAGGTGAGGGACCCAGGGACCACTCAGACGCGGCCTCAGGCAGGGCTGGGACGGGGCGACAGGGCCATAACTGCCCTTTGTCACCTCGACCCTGAAGAAGGTGCAGTGAGTGAACCCAGCATCACGCCCCCCCAACACTGCTGCTTTTTCTGGCTGGTGACAAAAAGGCTTTCCTGGGTCAATTCCAGTGACTTCCCGAGCGAGGAAGGGGCACCGCACCCGGTCTCGCCTGCTGTCACTCCATGGCACCTCTGAGAGCCAGAAGTCAGTCAAGGGGGGCTTGGGAAGGGGCGGCTTTCCTGAGGGGCACCATCCCCCCCAGAGCCTGAGACTCAGTTCAGACCCCAGCCGGAGCGGGACCCCTCAGCCCTGGGGACGGCCTGGCACGCCCGGGACTTCCCAGGTGGGAAACCCACGGGGGCGGCCCCTCAGCCCGACGGGCGGCACCAAGCTCCCCCACGTGGCTGCCATCAGACGTGGGTCTCATCCTCCTCCCAGACCCCAGCGGCAGGTGTCCTGTCGCCCCATGGCTCCCCCAGACAGATGGCAGCCCAGCTCCTTTGAGCAGAGGGACCCACTGCCGCCCGTGGCACTGACAGGGGCGGCCACCGGTTTCGGCAGACCAGCCAGGGGCCCGGAGCTGACGGTGGCAGCGAAGAGCGTGGCACCCCAGTGGCCCCGTCCCCTTGTCTCGGGTGTCCAGGAACAAGGGGTCTCGGGGGAGATGAAGGGGCAGCGACCAGGACACACAGGGAGAGGGCCCCCGCGGTGCAGCAGCCCATCTGAGACGTCACCCGGGAGAATAAACAACTCGAGCCTTGTTAGGGAGAGCAGAGCGGGCCCGGGGAGGGGGCTGGGGGAAGGCAGCCACCCGCAGGGGAGACCGAGCCGGCTTCTTAAAAAAGAGGCCCCTGGCAAGGCGACCCGCCTCTTCTCCCTGAAATGCAAGCAAGTCCGCCCAGTCTGAGAGCCCGGAGCCTTGAACGAATCAGAAAGGCAGACAGATGTCACTTCTGCAGGGAGTGGCGCGTCCCGCCTCCAAGGCCACTCGTGCCCCAGGGCCATGGGGCCACCTCACTTTGGAAGCCATCTCCCCAGCAGGTGGGTGTGTGGTGGCTGGGGTGGGGCGGCTTCCTATGGCCCAGAATCCAACACCAAAGCCCCGATACTTGGGCCCACGGGCTGCCTGGTTGTCAGTGAAGGGTCAGAACCCGGCCAAAGCTGTCGCTGGGACTCCAAGGCCCGTCCACCAGGCTCTGTGCCATGTCTCCTGAAGTCGGTCCTGGACACCCCTGGCCTAGCCTCGAGCGCACAAAGGCTCTGGCAGGCACGGATGGTGCGAACCCCAAGACACTTAAGCCTGAATGTGCCCAGCGTGTGCACAGCTGCTGGGGTCTCAGACTGGGGTCGTCCCACGGGGGGACCTTTAAAGGTCACCCTCCCCACATGGAAGACACTTTCTGACTTTAAGCTTGGTCATGCCACGCTCTTGTCCACAGACGTCCCACGGGGCAGGCGTGGGTCAGGACCCCGCGAAGGCCGCCCGGGCGAAGGCCATGGCCACCACGATCATGTGCAGAGCTGGGCCCCGTGGTCGCCCCACCCTCGCCCACAGAAGCATCTGCTGGGCTCGGTCCAGGCAGAGGACGCACGGCAGCCCGGAGCCAGCCCCACACCATGCCCGCCGGCCTCCCTGCCAGCACCCAGGGTTCCCGGGAGGGGAGCTCTGGCCGCCCGGGCCTCCCTGGAGGGAGACGATCTGGAACCACTCTCAAATTATCTCCGAGACTCCGCGCGTCTCCGAAACACTTTCAGCTCCATAAAAGGCTGCCTGGATTCTCCCGAGGCCTCGCTCCCCCAGGATTCCCCGCCAGAGACGCCTCCCTGCCCGCCTGCAGGGCTGGCCCCCTCCCCTCCGACCCAGCCTGCCCAGGCCTCACTTGCAAGGGTTCAGGGGACGCGCTCACGCCCGAGCAGGTGGGGAGGCCCTTCCTGACTCTGCCCTAAACCAGGGACTGTTCTGGAAAACCAGCCCCAAGGCCACCCAATGCCCAGGGGGGCACGGAGAGGCCAGGCTTGGGGCCCCTGCCCCTCTGGGGAGGTGGCGGAGGGCGCCAACTGCCCCTTGGATGCCGGCCCGCTTTGCGGCCCGCAGGTCACCCAGAGTGAGGCCCCAAGCA